GAAATAACTTTCACGTCATTTTATTTATAATTTTAATTTTTTAATACCATCCCATAGACAGTTTGCTATAATGAATTGACAATAAATCAGGCCAGAACATGCGCCTACTATCATGTGAGTTAGTAAAAGGTAAAAGATGTTTTTATAAACACCCTTTAACATATATTTTACAAGAAAGTGTGGAAACAGAAATGTAGGGTGCTGATTTTTTTTTTTATACCTCCGAATAACTTGCCAAATCAAGACTTTTTTAGCAAACTTATACACCTGGAATTTGCTAATAATTGTACTTCATTTAAGTTTCATATCTTCAATAACTCAGAAAATTATAGAAATATATTTGTCATACAACTTTCTTCAGAGGGTTCTTGCACTTTTTTTTAATTTTAGAATGGTTAGACACTTTTTGTGATTTGAAAGCTTGTAAAACATAATTATTTTGAACTTACTATGAACAACAATACTATGAGAAAAACCTTATCTTTTTGCGCATTCTCTTAGTGAGAGGCTTGAATTATTCATAAAATTGGAAACAAGTTTTCTAACCAGTTTTGTATCTTGAAAAACCTCCTTTCCTTCCCTTCCAGATTTGCGTTTGAAAACTTAGTTTAAGTTAAGTGGCAAAACTTAAAATGTTTTTTGAAGTTGTTACATGTTGCTTTTCTTTCTTTTTTTATCTTCGCTTCCAACAAGGTTGCAAGCAACCACTAATTAGTGTTGGAAGTTACTGGAAGAGAAAAGATGAAGATTGTAGAGCAAGATAACGATTGACAGACAACTTAAAAAAGCAAGATGAAGGAAGATGAAGATGAAGCAAAATGAAGGAAGCGAATTCCAAAGAACTGATGTTCGAGGAAAAAAACTAGATGAATAAGAGTTTTTGGAGCACTTACAGGAACAGGAACAGAAAAAGGATGAGACTTAATTGAATGACGAGTAACACGAGAATGAATTTTAGTAGATGGCACAAGAGACGCTAGCTCTTTAGAGCAGTGCCCATTATAGTATTTGTAGAAAAGAGAAAGAGAAGCAACATTACGACGTTATGTGACAGAGGTTGAAGGTTGGCTGCAAGAGCAGGTCCAACTATGTTTACAATGCGTTTTTGCACCATGTCTAAAAGAGAAAGGGCATCATTAGAAGATCCGCCCCAGATATGGCAACAGTATTCCATACAAGGCCGGATTTGAGATTTATAGAGATAGAGAATAGAATCCAGAGTAAGAAAGTGATGAGCTCGATAAAGAGGAGCAACTTTAGCAGATGCTAATTTTGCAACGGATTTTATATAAGTTTTCCAAGAAAGGGTAGGTAGAAAGGTGAAGGGTAGGAGACTCATCGAGTACATTACCATTCATAAATATAGGAAGGTCTAAATTATTGCGATAACGATTGGCCGAAAAAAATTGAGTTTTATCTGAATTACATGGCCGAAAAAAATTGAGTTTTATCTGAATTACATCTGAGTTACATGTTGCTAACAAAATACAAACACAATTAAAAATATATTAATACAACCACAGAAAAAAAATTATGTGTTTACTCTTTCACATTTATTTTGTATACACACTTTAAAATGATGAAAATAAAAAATTTTTTTATAGAAAAATTCTAATGTTGTAGTTCAAATAGTGATATAATTTGTATGAGTATTATGTATAGTTTTTTACATAACAACCAGAGATTTTACATTATTAACAAATTAGAAACATAATAATTTTAACAATTTTTACAAAAACCATTTTGCATAAATATTCATTAGGGTATTAATTATAAAACAGCTGTCACAGAAAGTAAAGAAAAAAAATATTAATGAATGATTATTTATTATTATTTGATTAATTATTTATTAATTGATTACTTAAAAATGTATCACCTCTGGATCAAATGGTTTCATTTTGCTTGAATTTTTTTTTTTTTTTTTTTTAATTACTGATAAGTGGATATAAGGAACAAAGAAGCTTTCTTAATACATTTTTGTTAGTTTTTATTTGAACATTTGCATGAAAAATGCATTAATAGCTTTGTTGTGTTATTATATAGCTTCTTCAGAAAACATTTCAATAGTTTATAAAAATTGTCTTACAATGTCATGTCTATGTATTGAGATAAGATGTAAACTTTGTGGCATATAACACTATGAATAAAGTTTTACATATCTATTTGCAATATTTATAGAATACCCTTGTAACATGAATCATCTTTATCAAACATGTAAAATACTATTTAAGCATTATTTCTATCATTTGATGTACCTGAAAAACTTGGCTTTGGGACTTAAATAACAAGCCCAAGTTATTCCTTTATTTGTTTTTGTATTATTTTCTTTTTTAAAGAAACAGAAACCTTGTTCTCTGCTGACCTAGCTTGATGTTTTCTTTTAATCCATAAAAGCCAATTTTATAGTAAAATAGGCTTTTTTTAATTTTAATATTTTTAATTTATAAATTTTTTTATGTTAGGCTTCCGATGTAAGTATTCTTTTTTTAATTTTAATTTTTTTAATTTATAAATTTTTTCATGTTAGGCTTCCAATATAAGTATTCTTTTTACAGACTAATTAGTTGAGCAACAGGTCTAACAAATTTTGTAGATCAACAGAAGCTGGGTAATCAGTTACAATTATTCTGTCTCTATTATTTGTCATGAATTTTCTTTAGCATCTTAAACAGCATTGTTAGGAGGATACAGTTTAAAGCTTGCTTCAACAAGGAGGATACAGTTTACAGCTTGCTTTTTTATAAAAATGCAGTTGGTTCAAATCAGAAAATGAATGTATTTTAAAGTTCTTTTAATAATGGACAAATCTCTTATCCATGAAGCACCCACATCATTATGTAACTTAATTAACTTTCTACTCGACTTCAGAAAAAACACTAATTTTAAAGGAAACAAAATGCAGTAATCGTTTTGGTAATCGAGCATTATCTCACTAGTATCTAAAACTTTAGAATATACTTCTAAAATCATTCATTCAAAAACACAGCTATTTTTAAGAAAAAGCTGAAATCAAATTTAATGGTTAATAGCAAACTATTTCACCTGACTATTAAAAAAAGTTATGAATATTGAAAACTTTTATTTATATAATAATTTGTTGCACAGCTGAGCCAGTATTTTACCTATTTATCTCTTTCTTGTTGCACAGCTAAGCAAGTTTTTTTACCTATTTATAAATAGCCTGCTGCTGGGGGCTTCAGTACATACATCGGCTGACAAATAGCCTGACTCACAGGGGAGTGCTGCTACATCAATTGAGGGTTTGGGATGGGGCCACAATTTTTTCTTTTGTTATTCTTCATTTTTTTCTTTTTTTTCTAAAAATGCAATATGCTATTAAGATTAGCAAAAATAGTGAGCAAATGCTCATCTAAACCAGCTATATAATATATATATATATATATATATATATATATATATATATATATATATATATATATATATATATATATATATATATATATATATATATATATATATATATATATATATATATATATATATATATATATATATATATATGTATATATATATACATATATACAGTGCTTTAAAAAAAAATTTACTTTTTTTTGAAAGCACAAACTTTTTAATTGACTTCCATTCTACTTTCTTGGTTAATATAAGGAAGGTTAAAAAAAACTATTGAAGGCGAAAATAGTCTTATATTTTGTCAAGTATGAGCCAATCCGATGTTAAGTTATTGTGACCTCACCAACACACCGACACCGAAAACGCAACTAAAAACGTATTTAGTCAAATACAGATATAATCATTTTACAAAGGAAAAACATTGGTACCTATGCAGCTGTTAGAAAATGTTGATGGCCAGTGATTGGCTCACAAAATTTAGGCGGTGTAAGGAGAGAATTGGGTGGTCTTTAGAGAAGTGGAAGCAAGTAAAATTTTAGTGATGAAAGTAACTTAAAAGTGCTAAAGAGAAAAAGCAAAGTGCTCGTTAAAAGATTTAAATCAGAAAAGTATAGCTTTGCTGTACGGAGGTTGCAAAGTGGTGGCGGCAGTGTTGCTATTTGGGGCTCCTTTAATTTTAACAGAGTAGAAGTGTGTAACATTTATACAGGTCGAATCACCAACATACATATATAAAAATGCTAGAGAACTGCATGGCCCCATCAGTGGACATGCTGGTTGATCAAAGTGAATGGTGGCAATCAACAAGATTTGGTGCATGTCCACACAGCTCGTACAGTAAAAGCATGGATGAAAGAAAATAAAGTAAATTTAATACTCAGGCCAGCTTGATCACCTAATTTCAATGCAATCAAATCTATTTGGGCTTGGATGGACAAAGAATTAGTCAAGGTGCAAATATGACCCATAAATAGCCTAAAGCAAGAATTAGATACCATTTGGAGAAGAGTTCCAAACCAAATCTGCAACAATCTTGTAAAATCAATGCAAAAAAGGTGTGCTGCTTGCAAAAATGCTCTTGGGGCATATTTTAAATGTTAGCTCAGACGTTATTTTTGTTGCTTTAATTTTCTATATATTGCAGTTTTTTATTTATATTTTTTGTTATTATGTTTGATAACGTTTTTAAATACATTAATGACTTGCATCAGGTAAAAAATCGTGATTTTTTTACCTAAAGATTGCATTTAGCCTGAAAGTTTAGTTGTAAAGAATATGTAGTTTTATTTATAAATATATATATATATATATATATATATATATATATATATATATATATATAATATATATATATATATATATATATTTAGAATAGGAAAAATAATATGTCATAATATTGTTTAAAAAATCTTATACTAATATTAGTTTTTAAAAAAATGGTTTTAGTATACTGATATTGTATTAGGAAAAAATCTCTGTTATATTAGCTCTAGTTTTTTTTTTTCAGTACTTCCAAATAGTTCTTTTTTTTTTCAGTACCTCCAAATAGTTCTTTTTTTTTTCAGTACTTCCAAATAAATCTTTTTTTTTTTTTCAGTACCTCCAAATAAATCTTTTTTTTTTTCCAGTACTTCCAAATAGTTCTTGGACATCATGGAGTAGTTATAGTGGCTGTTCAGTATCTTGTGGTTCTGGTACAAGTTCTCGAAGTAGAATTTGTTATTTACCCACTAATAATCTTCCAACTCAAGGCTGCATTGGAAATAATACTGAAGTACAAATTTGTAATGAGGGAATTTGTCCAAGTAAAATTTTTCTAGTTTTTAAAATAATACATCTAAACAATATATTTGTTCTAAAATGTCAAATTTATTTTACAATTTAAAAGATAATTTTGTAATTTTTTAAATTTATTTAAATTTATTTAAATTAGTTAATTATAGTTTATTTTTACTAATATTTTTATCAGAATCATGTAATGTGAACGCAAATATAACATGTTCAAACATCAATCAGCCAGTTATTCTTGATGACATGTCACAAACAATGCAAGACATAAACAACACAATGTCATGGTGGTCATGGGCAGCTACAACCTCTTTATTTAAAAGTAATTTTTTACTTTTTTTAAAACATTTTTTTATCAACATTTATTTAAAATTTTCATTATATAAAATTTTTATTTAAACAACTTAATTGTAACTACTTTTCTACATTCAGTACAAATCATTTTTTTTTTTTTTTTCTTTCTGCTTTCTATACCTTCTTTTATACCTTTAAATCTTATGTTTTGTTTTACGCTTTTAAATGTAAAAAATGACCTGAAAATAAACAAAACTTATTTTATAAAAATTTTGAAAAAATAAAAAATCAAAGTAAGAAATTATCTTATGGTAACAATGCAATATTTAAGATGCACAAAGTAGTACTTTATATTTTTTTATATAACAAAGTAAATCTTTGGATTCTTTTTATAAGATAATTACTGTACTAATATATTTTGCTCATTAAAGAAAAATAGACTTTGTAATAAATGTCTTCATTAGTTCACGAATTTTAACCCTAATTTGATGTCCACATTGAAAAACTAGTTGTTTTTCATCCCATTAATTTTTTGGGGGTAGTCTTCTCAAACTAGTCTTCTCAATAAATGAATAAAAATTATTTAAGTTAGTTGACTAGACATTTATTTGTAACAATAGAGTGTTTATACTATATATAACTATTGATACATGGTGAGTTGACCAGACATTAATTTGTTACAAGAGAGTGTTTATACTATATATAACTATTTATAATCACCAAAAATCTTTGTTGTGATTATTTTATCAAAACCTTTGAAAACTCTTTTTCTCTTGTACATACAAAAATTTTAATGCTTTTCAAGTTGGTTTGTGAGGAAATTTGTTGTCATTCTGTACCATTGATTCAACATATACAGTGTATTATTGACACATTGCACTGTACCTATGACCGCTCACTGGTTCTTAAAAAAAATGAAAATTTTCAAATTGAAAAAAGACTGTAGTAATATTTTTATGTTAACACATATCGCAATATTACCACATGCAATATTAACACATTATGCAATATTATAGTTGTTTTCCAATTACATTAAATGCTTTGAAATTTTTATTTATTAAATTAGTTTTGGTTTTGGAAATTTACAGGTTGCAATCCAGCAGACTATAACTCTACTTTGTTAAAACTAAATGACTACATAAGTTTTGTGACAGCAACTATGGATAACATTTTTATGGTAAGTAAAATTTTTTTTTATTATTTTCAAAACGTTTTGAGTAGTATGAAATTAGTATAAGTTGTTTTCAAGTTTTAAAAATTCTCAATAAATAAAGTTCTTTTTTCATTTAATTTGCCTTTTTTTTCTTCTTTGTTAGAAATTAAATGCTAGTAAAAAAATGAATTACATAATTAATTACTAATTACAAGTTAAAATTAATTACATGATTTTTTTAAAGAAGTTTATCTGCCACATTGCCAAATATTTGTTCTGTCAAATTGTTAAACTATTTGCTTTATCTGATTGCAAGTTCCTATGTAATTATTATAATATACTATGTAAATAGTATAATATTTATTACTAAGAAAAATTTTAGCTTGCTGTTGTTTTTAACTTAATTGACTTTGCAAGGTCATATGGATATATTTTTATCTCTTTGAATATTTGAGTTTTATTTAAAACAAATTAGATAAATAGTTATTTATTTAATGAATTACTGATATGATATTATATGAAATAATGAAATATGAAATTTAATGAAATAATGAAATATGAAATTTAATGAAATAATGAAATTGATGTTTACTTCAGAAAAGAGTCAGAATCGTCTTTGCCTAAATAGTTTTTACAAGAGTGTGGCAAAAGTAATGTCAGCAGCACACATACAATAAAAATGAAAAATTCATAGTCCTAGGAAAAGCAATAACACTTATCCTAAAATAAAAAAGCAAAAAGCACATTTCATCTACACAAATACCAGCTGGTACTTGTATGGAAAATTCTAGAAAATACAATAATATGAATTTTTGTGTATTTATATGTGATATGAATATGTGACATATTTTTGTGTATTTATATGTGATATGAATATGTGACATATTTTTGTGTATTTATATGTGATATGAATATGTGACATATTTTTGTGTATTTATATGTGATATGAATATGTGACATATTTTTGTGTATTTATATGTGATATGAATATGTGACATATTTTTGTGTATTTATATGTGATATGAATATGTGACATATTTTTGTGTATTTATATGTGATATGAATATGTGACATATTTTTGTGTATTTATATGTGATATGAATATGTGACATATTTTTGTGTATTTATATGTGATATGAATATGTGACATATTTTTGTGTATTTATATGTGATATGAATATGTAACATATTTTTGTGTATTTATATGTAATATCAATATGTGACATTTTTGTGTATTTATATGTGATATGAATAAGTGACATATTTTTGTGTATTTATATGTGATATGAATATGTGACATATTAAAAAAAGACATAATAAATATAAGGATGAGAGTGCTAAGTGCGTTTTTAAGTTAGCATTTGATTTAAAAACAGTTCTGTAACCAGCTTTTCTGAATATTCTTTTAAGTCTGGGAGATACTATTGGTATCCATGGTAAAGAGATTGTAGGAAGGTTATTTGAGTTTGATGGAATTTCATTTTTGTTCGCAAAACGTTTTTTTTGAACCTGATTAGAAATATCTTTAAGCATTTTTTCATCGTATCCATTTTCAGTAAACACTTGAATTAAAAAATTTATCTCATCTTTTAAATGGTTTTCGCTGCATGTTGAGTATGCTCTGTGTATGTATCCTTTGAATTTTGCTTTTAAAATTTTAGGATCATGATTAGAATGAGGTTTGATTTGGATATTGGTTATTGCATCCTTCCTTTAAACCTTGAACTCATATTTTCCTTATGTATTATTAATAACAGTCATATCCAAAAAGTTAAGTATCTTATTTTTGTTTTCAAACTCAATAGTATATTTTAAAGAAGGATGTTGTCTGTTAAGAATTATTTGGAACTGTTCCGTTTGATTTAAGTTAGAAAACCTTGCATGGCTATCGTCTACATATCTATGAAAGGATTTAATATCAATTAAAGGAATCATTGTCGTTGCCATTTTCAAATGGCATCGACAATTATTTTTAATTCAAGTGTTTACTGAAAATGGATAACATGAAAAAATACTTAAAGATATTTCTAATCAGGTTCGAAAAAAAACGTTTTGCGAACAAAAATGATATTCCATCAAACTCTAATAACCATCCTACAATCTCTTTACCATAGATACCAATAATATCTCCCAGATTTAGAAGAATATTCAGAAAAGCTGGTTACAGAACTGTTTTTAAATCATATGCTAACCTAAAAACGCTATTAACGCCTAAAAATAAGTCTATATTACCATGCAAGAGCACCCCAGGAATCTATTTAATTAAGTGCAAATGCTCCAAAGTATATGTTGGTGAAACAAAACTTCAAATACAAACAAGGGTTCAACAACACCAAAAATTTTTGACTGAAGGCAAGTTAAACCAGTCTGCATTAGCTTTGCATAAAGTAAATTGTATTGAGGACATTGAATGGAATAAAGTAATAACACTTAAAGTTGAGGATAAAAATTTTGAAAGAAAAGTGTGTGAGGCCTTAGAGATACAAAAACATCAATGTTCTCCAATGTACGGTGGTATGAATTTGGACAATGGACAATATTTAAAAACAAATTTTTGGACTTCATTTTTTTCATACTTAAAAGAAGCCATTATAAAGGTGACATTTAAAAAATTTTTTGTTGTAATTTAACGGTCACAATTTTTGTAATTATATTATATTATATGCTGATGATGCCGGTGCCTATAGTCCGGCAAAAATTTTAAATAATTTATTTAGTATTGAGAGAATTCGTATTATCTGATGTTTTAAGTTAGTTTATATATATATATTTACTCTCGTACAAGATATCAACATTTAAATCATATATATATATATATATATATATATATATATATATATAATGCGGTAGTGGTGTTGTGGTAAAAGCGCTTGCTTTGTAAGCGAGAGGTTCGGAGTTTGACTCCCACAATGTCCCTGGAAGTACCACGCTCAACTTAATTTCTCCGCGCAGCGGCCTTGCTTGTCAAGGTTCGTGTTTCGGAGTTAAAGAGTTGAGAGAGGGTTGTATCACGATTCACAACAACAACAACAACAAAAAAATGAGTAGACTCTTCGACTGTAGTGGCCCCCTCGGGCCTTGGGGAGGTGAATAATTAATATATATATATATATATATATATATATATATATATATATATTATATATATATATATATATATATATATATATATATATATATACATATATATATATATATATATATATATATATATATATATATATATATATATATATATATTATATATATAATATAATTCTGAATCAATAAAGAAACAATCTGTTTTACTTTTTAGTTTTTAACAGGTTATGAATGAGTTTTTGGGCTGGAGTAAAAGACTTGTATTCAGAACAAAATTTTTTATTTAAAACACAAAACTTAAAAAATATTAATAATAAAATGTCTTCTTATAGTATTTGAAGTGAATAAAATATTTAGGCACCATGTCCTTTTATGTGATCTAGTCTTTTCCTTAAACCAAAAAAATATGGTTTTGTACAAACTCATGATCAAGTGAAGAATTAATAATTCTAAGAATAAGACAATAATTCTAGATTTCGACTCATCAAGACTTTTTGCTGTCCATTAAAGTGGCTTTGATACCCCGTTTGGTGAAATACAAAGCCAAATCAATAATTTTTTCTTTCCAATGATTTGTTAGTTTTAATAGACTTAATATAATTGTAAGCAGTTCATTTTGCTTAACCAAGAGCTATAAAATGGTCAGCAATTATCTTTTTTTGTTTATCTCAATTATTTTACTAAAACTTTTACAAATATTCTTAATGTTTTCGTACTTTGTCATTAAATTAAAAATTATTAAATTAAAAAAAAAAAATTTTTGTTTATTCCTAGCTGAGATTAATTTAAAATGAGACTATTGCAAACCATGTTGTACATTTCTTTGCGGAGATAACTTAACATTAATTGAATCAGTGTTTTTTAAAAGGGCTGATTTTCTCAAAACTTGTTTTTGAGAAAACTAAAAAAAACTATTTATATCTTTTAATAATAAATATACAGATTTTGTGTAACATATTTTTAAAAAATATATGCAAGAGTAACATCTTAGTACACTTTGATAATTGTTATAACATTTCGTTTGTTAATAATTAATGTATGAAAGTTCCAAAAATTCGCCCTTATAAAAAAAATTTAATATTTAAGGAAGGAAAACAAATTAAAACTCCATAAGAACTACAGCTATGTATTTTTAAACAACATTTTAACATGCCAGTAATAAATATGATACATATATAAATGAATTAATAACAAATAAAGCTCTCAGTAAGCATTAAGTCTCAGCATATTAATCAAGGTCTTCCTCAAAGCCACTATCAGGGAGAATCTCACATTTATTAGTTGGCCAGGAGTACAGCTATAAAACTTATAAAACTCATTGAATTCTTCAGGAATGAATTCTTTTAATTTGTTAAGGTCTTCCAACTTCGCTTTTTTCAGTGTAACTTTGCCACTTGGATAAGCTAAACAATCCACTTGTGGTACAGTACCCATATGTTTGGACATAAAAAATGTATGACAGACCAAACCATTAATATTGGTGAATGCCTTAATGTAGCCTTTTTTTATCATGCTCATATACAAAAATAATGTTTTGGGCTCCAACCTTTAAAATCAAAAAATTCAGTTGCATCTACAATTTCTTTCACCATAAACTTTTGTGATCTGGAGCTGCTAATAATAAGCTCATTGTAAAATTTATTACTCCTGCGCTTATGAACATCTAAATCAGTCTGTGCTGCCCTTTTAGCTACATGATTGAGATGTAGTGATTTCAATCTAAGATTTAATTTTTCACACGTGCAACAAGTATCCACTTGTGGGTGCCCAAACCGTAATTTAAAATTAGTTTTAAAATGGTTCCAGTAAAAAGACTTGCTCACTTTAAAATCTGGATTTTTTTCACAAAAAAGTTGCCATGTTGTTTTTAAATTTAAACTCGCATTAAGGTAATATACTTTTTTCCCTGAGTAATGTGATTCCTTGAGTGGAAATGATCTTATGTAATTACTAACAATGTCATGAACATTCTGAGAAAGACAATTAGTAATACCTTTTCCTCTTTTATTTTCAGGGGTTATTCCAATTACCTTAAGGTTCCTTATTCTTCATAATTGTTTTTCACTAATACTTAAGACAGATAAAAGTGTACTGCAACATATCTCTGCGTACATTACCTACAATCACATGATAGGAGAAGCTATTTGGCTGCTTCAGGTTTTCAAGATCCTTTTGATGTAGCAGTCTTCTTTTAACTTTAGTGATATCTATTAATCCTTGAATATAAAAATCTTGTTTGTCTTTTTTATATCATAAAATTTGGAAAAGATATCCACACAGTTAGCCTCTCCAAAGTTCTCCAAACACTTTTTCTTGCACCTTAAAAAAGAAATCAGAAAAATTAATATAAAATTAATACAAGCTAGAAAATGTTTTTACTAAAATACACAGCATTATTCATAATCTTAAACAGAGAACAACATTGCAACCAAAGTTGTGCGGAAATAGACCAAATCATATTAAGAGTTTTTGACTATTTAGTGCTTTCACCTATGTTATAATTTCAATTATTATATAGGCATAGGCTTACTATAACAAAATTTAAATATTCAGTGTATGTTAACTATCTGGAAAAACAACCAAAATAAATCTTAGCTAACTGCATATTAAACTACTATGCAAGAAAGGTTTAATATGTAAAATCTGTAAATTATTTACTTATATAACAGGTATACCCATAATCTAAGTACTATAGCTGGTTTAGACTTAGGGTTAGGTTTTTAGGGTTAAAATATTTTGAAGTATACTTTTTTATAAATTTTAGACATATAAACATATAATACATCTTAATGTTTCAAAATTTTATAGTATAATATTTTATATAATTTTAGTATAATTTCATGTAAACATGAAACTTATGTAAACATTAAATTTATGATAAGCTGAAAATGATTTAAATATACTATATGTAAATGTATATATATATATATATATATATATATATATATATATATATATATATATATATATATATATATATATATATATATATATATATATATATATATATATATATATATATATATATATATATATATGTATATGTATATACATATATATATATACAACTTACCTGCAAGTAAACATAGGGTATTTTGGTGGAACTTCATTTATGATTTATGTATGACTGTCCCATTAAACGTGCTTGTTTTATTTTGTTATGTTTGTACTCACAAGGATAACTTTCTTTCTTCTTTCTAGGACTTGGAATAACGAGGTCCATTAAAATCTTATAATAACAACAAAACTATTAATACGAAATACTATTAACATTTTTCGTGTATTGCGCCTAAAAATACAAATCAGCTGTAGAGCCATTTTTTTTTAAAAAGGCAATTTAAAGCAAATTCGCCTTTTTAAAAAAAATCGAAAACTTTCAGGTTTGAGTAAGAAGATAAAATTTAAACACATTTTTAACATAAACTGATGATGCTATCATAAAAGAACACAAAACACACAAAAAGTGAATTTCAAAAAAAATGTCAAAACAGCCCTTTTAAAAAACACTGATTCAATTCTAGACCAAATGCTTATTCTTAACCCATTATTTTCAATTTAATTTAAATTGGTTTTTAAAAAAAGTTATTTACTTATTACTTTTCAAATAATTGAACTAATTTGCTATATAGTACATGTTTGTATAAATGCTCTTATATAAATGTTTTGGTTATATTCATTATATGTTAGCATATGTGTTCTAATATTAAGGCTTTAATATATGTTTGTATATATGCGCTTATATAAATTTTATATATATGCTATAAGTTTTATGTTTGTATATATCCTCTGCTATGTACTTTTATGTGTATGATTTAGAATGTCAATAGAACAATTTATTTTATTGCTTGCAGCAATAACTCAACAATTCAACAAAATCTCTTAAGTTACTGTGAAACAGCTGCTCATCAAAAAGATTTTTTAAATGTATCACTGTTTCAACTTCAAAGTTATATTAAACAAGTTAATTCAACTATTCTTAATTGTAATAGTGCTGGTATGTTAAACATTATTTAATCTATATATTTTTTATATTATATATATATATATATATATATACATATATATATATATATATATATATATATATATATATATATATATATATATATATATATATATATATATATATATATATATATATATATATATATATATATATATATATATAGATATATATATAGATATATATATATATTATATGTATATATTTTTTATATAAAAAATATCAATTTCAATCTATAAAATCGTTTGCTTGTTTCACAAAATCATAGTTAATTTTAATTTATTAGTTTTCAATCATTACTTCATTACATATCATCATTCATTACATACAATCATTACATAAGTTTTTTTTTTGTGTGAAATCCCCTACCAGGTCATTTAATTTTAATTTATTTTCAGGACACTAAGAAAATATTTATGTTTTGATTTATTTTAAACAATCATACAGTCCTGATAAGTTTCTAAAAGAGTTAACAGACAACTTAAAAACTATGAACACACAAAACATAATGGTTAAATTAGGCTTGAAAAATACCATATAAGAACTAATATTTGGCATCCAGCATTTTTTGAACTTAGAGATAGCTAACTTCCAGACATGGAGCAAACTCCAAATTTTTATGTTTACACTTGTGTCAAATAAAGATGTTTTGCAAAAAATTGCGATGATTGGAGGTTGGGAACAAAAAAGCCTTAGAATTTTGCCCCCCCCCCCTCCTGCCCCAAACGTGAAAGCAACAAATTGATGAAATAATTTTTATACTATTTTCAACTAGACTTATATTCATCGATAAATTTTAAATTTCATAGTAAAATAATTTAGCGTTCAAAAATTAAGACCATATAAAGTTTAAATCCCCCTCACTTTGAGGGGTTTGCAAATTTTATATGGTCATATTTTTTGAACGCTAAATTATTTTACTATGAAATTTAAAATTTATCGATGAATATAAGTCTAGTTAAAAATAGTATAAAAATTATTTCCTCAACTTGTTGCTCTCACGTTTGGGGCAGGGGGGGCAAAAAAATTTTTTTTTTTTTGTTACCAACCTCAAATCATGGCAATTTTTTGCAAAGCATTCTTATTTGACATAAGTATAAACATATAAAAGTTTGAAGTTTGCTCCATGTCTGAAAGTTAGCAATCTCAAGACCAAAAAATGATCCCCCCCTGTTTGGCATACAAAGGTAAATTATGCAATTGGTATACAATTTGGTATATAACATTAATAGTATGTTACAGCAGGTCAAAACAGTAATATAACAGCATATTTTGTTAATTTACATTTTTTTTTTTTTTTTTTTTTTACTTTTTTTTTGTTTTTTATGTGACATCAAGTTTGTCAATGAATTTTTCTTTTAAAAAATGTCTTGAATAATTCCAAAAAAATTATATTATATATATTCTTATATTCTTTTCTATATTTCTTTCTTCTACCATAACATTATACCACAACTTAATATCTTTTCTAAAATTTTGATATTTTCATGAATTATGTCACCTGAAAAAATAAAAGTGTAATAACATGATTGATAATCATGTAATCATGATTAATGACAGTTAATAACAATAACAGGTAACTGATTACTATAAATAAAATCTGAGATTATCAATACAATAACATGTAATTTTTAGTAATGTCAATTTTTGCAATTTCTTATTAAAATAGATTTTTTTGTATCAAGAATTTTATTATCTAAATAAAAAGCAAACTATAATTAATGTATATTAAAACAATACATTAAATAAGTCTACCATTTGTTAAGCTTTTTTCTTTTTTTCTTTATTTATCCATTAGTGGACTTGAAAAAAGGATAAATGAAAAAAGTCTCTTGTATTAGATCATCATCAACCATGTGTAAATATTGTTTACAGTATTATTTCTTGTACAGTTTTCAACATTTCTTAGCTTAATTTTTGATAAATAGTTTTTGTTTTATCAATCCAAAGTCTTTTGTCTGTTTAAGAATGATCAATATAATGTAAATTGTTTGCAAAATAGATCAGTATTAAATTATATTATATAGCGTTAGATTATTTAAAAAATACAACTTCGTGATTGTACTTAAAGTTTCATGTCTTTTGGCAATCATCGGCCATATTTGTTCTTTAAATCAAGAAAAAACCATTTAAAAGTACAAAATACCAATAATAACCAAAAAAACAACAAAAAAGCAATGGAATGAGACTTAACAATAATTTTTTAATTAGAAAATTGTTTAACCACCAATTTTTCAATGCCTGCAATTAGATACTATTTCACTCTATTTGTATAACAGATTTTGATTTTTGGAAAATAGAGTTTTACATTTTTCGTTTATGCATAGTTAGCAGAATTTTGTAGTAGAGTTGTAAGCATTCCACTGTTTAATTATTTTCCATTTAACAACTGGATATAAATTTGCATTTTTTAATTTCCAAAACTCTTTTGATAGTTCAGTATCATTTTTGTATTTAATAATGTTAAGTGATTTTATATGGTTAGCCTATTATGGTTGATGGTTTCTTTTTTGTTGGATTGCCCTACTTTTCTCCTGATTCTAACTCTGCAGGAAATTGAGCTAAGCACTTTTTAAAAGTAGAGAAAACATCACCAGTCGATTGTCTGTAAACAGAAAATTTTCCTTTAATTCGGTTACTTTGTAGCTCACGAACCAAAATTAATCAAAATCATCTGACAACAAATGCTTGCTATTAACCCTTCAGTGGTTTGCACAAGGGCTTTTTTAATATCATATCATTAAATTAGCTTGAGTCCATGCCCTGATTTAAATTGTTCTGAAAACGATTGCAGATTATTTGAATCTGATTGGTTGTGGTCTCTTAGTTTTATTCTGCTCTTTTGCACAAACATGATATTCCACCTGCTTTATAAATGAGTCTTGTGAGCTCCTTTTAGTTTTAGATCATCTGCAGCTTTCTATTTGAATATTTTCAAAGTGTACAACATTTTCTGTAGTTTAAGACTAGAAACTGACTAAATAAGTGGAGCAGGTTTGGACAACAGTTATTTTTTTTATTAATCTCAGTTTTTTCTTTCTTTTAGATTTTTCTTGCCCAAACCAAAACCTTCACTTGATGTATGTACACTTCCTGCATGTTCTACCTATTCTTTACCTAAGTCAGTTGATGTATGTTGACTCCCTGCATGTTCTAACTATTTAAGTCAGTTGATTTATGTACACTATGCTGCACTAATGCCTAAATAAATCAATTGATAAAATATAAAGAAATAAGCAACTCAATAAGAAAAATAAAATTAATAATAAAAACAGTAAAAAAATTAAAATAAAAATATTCTGAATTAAAAAAATAAAAGCCATTCTAGTTTAAAATGTCTATTAATTGGATTTCAAGTTTGTTATGTTGTGTTTTTGTGGTTTTTTAAAAAATAATAAAGTTTAATAAAAGTTTTTTTAATTATTTTAATGGTTGTTACTTTAGTTCTTCTAATTTTTTTGTCAAACACAAAAAACTTGAGAACTTTTATTTGAAACATTTTTACTGAACTGAGCTTTTTGAAATAAAGGCTTTAAAAAGAATTTTTAATAAAACCTCAAAGTCTTTCTGCAAATGTTTCTTGGTTTCCAAATGCCTTTCTTCTTTTTCATCTCAAAAATAAACAAAAAAAGGTAAAGTATTTTATTTCATTTCACCTTTGTCTAATTTTCTAATTTTTATTTATTTTGATTGTTTATGAACAATGTTTGTAATTACCTATTAAAAAATGTTTTATTCGATGTTGTTTAAGAATATTCAGTAAATCATTTTCATGATTGAGATAAAGCAATGGTTGTGGAATTTTAGTTAAAATACATTGGTTATGTTTGAAAAAATAAGTGAAAAAATAATAATAAATTCTCTTATTTGATCTAAATCATTAAATATTTTTTATAAAAATTATAATTCTTTATAATTTTTAAAAAATTATAAAGAATTATAATTTTTTACCCATAATGTATATTTATATTGTAGCATGTAAATTTTGTTTAGTATTTGAATGGACTTCATGGGAATCTTGGTATCCATGCTCTAGTTCATGTAATGGTGGGTATACTTCTAGAGAAAGGTATTGTAATCCAGTAGACACTACAAATCAACAACTGCATTGCTATGGAACCTGCACAAGTTGTATTGGTGCTTTTGTAGATTATAAAGCATGCAATACACAAAGTTGTAGCAATGGTAAAGTTTCATTTATAAATATACTGTTTAAGATTTTAAATTTCTTAATATCACAAATTTTCAGATTAATAAATTGTACTAATGTTATTATTAACTATTAATATAAATAACTTTATTGTTTTTGTATATAAAGCGTATACTTTAAAAAACTAAATATGTTTTGCTAATGTAAGAAGTAGATTTCACTTTCAATATAAATTTTATTATTTAAATTTTAATACTTTTCAGTGTTATATTAGTTTTGTGTTTATTTATTTGTTTAGTATTATGCGATGTTTTAAAAAACAGAGATTGCTCAACCGTTTCTAAATCTGCTCTTGATCTATCCAAGTTTTTGAATGTTTCTTCTGTAAATAAGGTTATAAGTGAAGTTTTAGTGTGGCCATTCCTTATTACAGACGAACTTTTTAAAAGTAAATATTTTTTCACTTTAAAAAAAGTTGTTTTGTTTAATCTTGCAAGAATTATTTATGTGTTAAAAGTAAAGGTTCATTTCTTTGTTTTAAATTTTTTTTCTTCTATAAATGATAAATAAAAAGTATATTAAATTATAAAATTATTTTAAATTATTAAAAAGTAAATTAAAAATTTTAAAATGTAAATCACAAAAATACTAAAACTTTACATATATTTGTAAAAAAAAAAATACTTATCAAGGTTTATTTTCTATAAAATATAATTTTTTTTTGTAAAGAAATATTCTTGTATTAAGTTTGAATAAAACTTGTTTTATTTAAACCTACATTTTTTAGCACTCAAATATACTTAAGATATAGCTCAATTGTTTTAAAACGTTTTTACAAACCATTTTACTTTTCAGATAATAGCCTCAAACACAAACATAAAATATTGGAAAACATTACCATCAGATGTTGTATGCGCTATATCTGTTAATAGTTTCAAAGCTAAGCACGATGCAGAAATTTCAAATAATCCGCTTAAGTATCAAAATTATAACTAAATGAAAATAATAAAGTACAACTTTACACTTTATACTATATTTATATGTAATCTTTATATATTGATTTAAATATAAATTTGAGTGTGTAGTAAATAAGGCTGCCATAACCTATAGGCTATACAGGGAAACCTGTTGCAGCATTGTACCAAATATACGACACCAAGTGATGCTAAAAATGAATTGTTAAAATCTTAAATAAATATTGATTAATAAATAATCATCTTAAATAATATTTTTCTACAAACCCTGAAGCTAATTAACCAGCTTCAAGGTTTTAACGACTACAAAATGTTAAAAATTGTCAGAATCAATCATCAAAAAACAGTGTTTTTCTGTATCAAATTGTTTCTAAACTCAACATCATCCTAATATTTTCAAAATATTAAAGTCGACAAAATCTTATTACTAATATTTTATCCTAATTTATTTAAACTAGATCGACTCCTGATTTTGAGTAACAATATTTTTGGCATATTTTGTAAGAAATAACGTTTTTCATTATACTTTAAAATTATTGAGGTTTTGATTATTATAAAAAGACGTACCTATTATCACCTTATGTGACAATGTCTGATAATACAACTGTTTTCTATCTTCTCTATTATATTATATATATCATTCATGCATTAAATCATCAGGTGTGAAGGTCACTGCCCACAAAATAGTTTAAAATGACCAACCTACAAAGTGTTGTATTACATAAACTGTTATTTTAGAATGCACGCAGAAATAATGAAAGAAAAAATAAAACAAATAATAAATTGCAAATAAATTAAAATCATTGCCACATATCCATACAACATTAAAGTGGTGATTTTATATCCGAATTTTCTTTCTTCAAGATGAGATGACCACCTACCCCAAAAAATATATATGCTTTTAATAGAATTATAATAGAATGTATAATACAAGTACTGTCAAATAAGTCACAAATAAATACTTTATTCTGCTAATTTACTGTAAGAAAACTCAGTCAAGACAATTTAGTTATATATTACTTATATAAGTAAAAAAATTATATATAAGTAACTGGTTTGTCTTGACTGAGTTTTATTACCCGCGAATTATATAAAGTATTTACATTAGTATAATATGTATAATAAATATAAGTATACTATATATATATATATATATTATATATATAGTATATATATATATATATA